TTTCACGAAGTATGAGAATGAGTTTTGTTTTTCAGATGTGTATGCAGGTATATCTATTGTACCTGGATATTAACACACAGTAGTTCTGTGCAGACAGGCTTCCTGAAGATGTCTTTATATGGATCCCTCTGAAATATGTCTGGAGTGATAACTGGGCAAGTGGGAATTCATATGCTGCATTTCCTATATGGGTTTTTTTAGAAAAATTAACATGTTCTAGTAATTACCGGTTAAAGAGGCAGATCTGACAAGAAAACATTGACAGAGTTAAGTGCAGGAGACTTTGGCTATTGTATTCAGGAAGGTGGAGGTTTAATCCATAATGTATTAAGAGCCTGAGAAAAGAACAAAGCTACTAAATTGTATTGGGTTCTTGCTCATTCAGTTCTTATTTTTTATAAAATAAGCAGACAGGGAGGTCCTGGAAAGTGGAGGCCTATATACAAACCAATATTTTGAAGTAAGAAAGCAGTGACAGTTTTTATTACTTGCTGTTATTGCAGGAAATCATGTATTGCACTCTGGATAAAAAATTATTATTATTGACAGCTCCTGTATACATAAAGCTGTGGAATCATGTAATGTATGCCTTCCTTCTTTTCTTCTTTACAGCTGACCCTCATAAGCCAGAGGAGAAAGATGAAATTTCCAAAGTCACAATCATAAGCCTTGTCCCATTACTGGTGATTTCTGTTGCTGTGATTGTTATCTTTTATGCCTACCGTACTCATAAGAAGAGGAAACTCAACAAGGCATGGGAGAAGAATGTTAAACCCAGGAAACATAAGGACTGCAGTGATGTTTGTGCCATTATGTTAGATGATGACCGTTCAGACATCAGCTCTACTTGTGCCAACAACATCAACCACAACACAGAATTGCTGCCCATTGAGTTGGACATTGTTGTTGGCAAAGGAAGGTTTGCTGAAGTGTATAAAGCCAAATTGAAGCAAAACACATCAGAGCAGTATGAAACTGTGGCAGTTAAGATTTTCCCCTACGAAGAATATGCCTCCTGGAAAACTGAGAAGGACATTTTTTCAGATGTAAACCTCAAGCATGAGAACATACTCCAGTTCTTGACAGCAGAGGAGCGTAAGACAGATCTTGGTAAACAGTATTGGTTGATTACTGCCTTCCATGCTAGAGGAAACTTGCAGGAATATCTCACACGGCACATTATCAGCTGGGAGGACCTCTGGAAACTGGGTGGATCCTTGGCCAGAGGGATTGCTCATCTTCATAGTGATCATACACCCTGTGGTCGCCCCAAAACACCTATTGTGCACAGAGACCTTAAAAGTTCTAACATCCTGGTGAAAAATGATTTAACCTGCTGTCTGTGTGACTTTGGGTTATCCCTGAGGCTGGACCCTTCTCTGTCTGTGGATGACTTGGCTAACAGTGGGCAGGTAAGTTAAAAGTTTGGAGGGTAGGGAGGTGTTTTACTAGTTGATGTGTTGGTTTATGGGGTGAAAAGAGGAAAAAAAGCCTTATGCTGCCATATTTACTTAAAATAATTTAAAATTACTGTAGAAGTGGTGAAAGGCTCTAAACATTAAAGGAACAGTGAGAGAAGTGCAAGTGTTGGTTTTGTTATGACTGGAGGGCTGCATGTAAACCATACAAACATCCTCTGTATTCACTGAAGCTAAGCATGTATGTGCTTGTTAACAATTGTTTATGCTGCTTCTGCAATGTACAGACACACATACGATAAAGATGTGCTTTCACATTGTGAGGTTGTGCCACAGTTTTCATGCTTGATAGCATTACAGTTTTGTATGAGTAGATCCACACCTGGTGTGCCCCAGAATATGTGAAGTCAGTCTTCTGTCCTTAAGAGGTATCAGCAGAGAACTAGAGTGACAGATAATCAGTTTAAAAGGCAAAAAATAAACTTGCTTTAGATTGTGGTACATTCTCCATATGCAGGCAAATACAAGAATGTTTATAAATGCTTTGAAGATTAATTTTTTGTAAGTATATCTCTAAGTATTTGCTCTTCTAATGAGAACTCCTGCAGTATAAATTCAGACCATTTGGTAGGTTAATAAATTCCTAGTTATTTAATTATACATATATTTATATATTAATTTTTATATTTATATTTTATACATAGTATAAAAAGCCTGTCTGTTTACACTGACTTTTGCTTCACATGGAACTAGTATATTGGTTTAGAATGTTTTAAAGGACAGCTGTTCAGATAGTAGTGCTCTGTTGAGTTCATAGGAGCTTTGCTGTTGTTTCCCTAATGAAGATCTCTCTTTGAAATTCTTCTTAGCAAGAGGCAAGTGACCTGATCTCATTTTAAGAATGTTTATCAACCAGACCTGGGAGTGAATTATACCAGTGGAGACATATTTAAAATAATACAAACACCACTCACAGTTACCTGTCATTTCTCTCTAGCATGCCAGACCTTTTTGGAGTTCAGGGAAATGAATCTATTTGGGGGTTACCCCACTAGTGTTATTTTTCTCTTTGACAAGGAGTATGATGGTGTGAAGTCACTCCACTTCAACCTCAACCTTGTTTCTTCTAGGCATGCAAGCACTGCCCACTTAAATTTCCCAACATGCCAATTTTAGTGCTGTAGCTTTCGCCAGAGAGATCTCACACCAGGATTCTCCTTATGCATTCTAAATTTTAACTTTGATTCAAACCCTTCCCACCAGAAGATCCAGTTTTTTAAAGTATATAATGGAACTGACCCAAATTTTAATTTTAATAGACCTTTAGCTTCCTATGAAATAAACAAAAGGCTTAAGTATTTTACCATTTCTCTAGTCAGCCTTAGACAGCAATATTCAAGGCAAGTTGTTGAGGTTACAATGCCATCTTCTTTCTGACCTACCCAACTACCTTCTGTGTCATGCAAAGATAGCCATTGTTGACTATAAAATACCAAAGACCTTAGTGACTGTCTGGAAACTATCTTTTTTTCTATTAACAGCTTTGCAATTTCTTCAGTTTGGCCATCCATGATGGTTAATATTTGCAGACATTACTTAATATGACCACATGAATCTGGACCTTTGTCCCATTGTGTTCAAATGACTGGTAGGTGTCTGCAAGGCCAGCAGTTTCTCACCTCAGCAGCATCAGATGGTCTCCCTAATCAGATAAAGAAGGGTATCTGCCACCCCTCTGACTGACAGACCCCAGGGCACAAAGCATCTCCTTCAACAGCTTGAAAGATATGCAAGGTCTCCAGCAAAAAAAAGATTCAAATGTCATAAAAATTATAATATACTACAGGAACAGATATGGTCCCTCACTAGAAGATTTGGAGAAGTGAGAATTGAAAGCAGACTGGTACTTGCAAAGTGAAAGTATATCCCGACTCCAGAGAGGACTGAATTTTTGGGGTTTAGGTACCTAAAATGCCTTTGAGACTCAGGAGACATGTTTCTGCAGGATATAGGAAAAATATCTTTGACCCAAAGGCCAAATAATCTAAATGCAGATAAAAGGACATAAGCAAAGTGAAGCAAATGATAAATTCTAAGCAGGATGGAAATTGGCTTGGCTTGATAGCATTCTTCAAGTAATTTTACTTTTTCTCTGCATTTCCCTCTGTACTTTTAGTTACAGGGCTTCATCCTCCATTGCCCAACCAAGCTGCAGAAAAATGTTCACTGCTGCAAGGAGGGTGCAAAGTGCCAGACCAGAACAGCACATTTTGCCAATATTAAGAATCTGTATTTAAACATAATTAACTCTTGTTAAAATCAGCAGGATTTGGGGGTGTGGGACTGTGGGCCATAGTGTACAGGTAACCCTTCTTAAGATTTGGATGGGGTCTGTTTGGGGAAGAAGCTGTGTACAGAGAAACAAAGAGGTTAGGAATAGTCTCTTCTGTGGAGTTCCCATATGTTCATGTTTTTTTGGGGAAGGAGATGTTGGTCACCTCAGTGGTTCTGAGACATGTTTGACCCAAGTACCCATTCACTGTATGCTCACGTGCTTGGTCTTGAATTCTTCACAGAGTCCATGTAATAGGGAATTTAACTTTGATCACACAGTGTTTTTTTCTGTGCTCCATTTATAAAGGCTTTGATACTACGATTATTTGGATATTCTGACACAGGAAATCTCTACTTTTGCCGGGTCCTGTGACAAAGCTATGTCCTTGATCTTTCCTGCTGTCTTCTTATGGTGCACTGCACTTTTTTTGTGGAACATCTTCCCATTTGCTCTGAGCCTGGTGTGTGAAAAGATGTGTTTACAAAAGCTTGTAAAATGGATGTTGTAGAGCTCTCTCAGGACTGTATATTCACTATGTAGCTGCCTGCAATTGCAGACCCTGTAACTGAAATGATCTTTTGCAGTTCTGCTTGCCACTGGGCTCTGGAATGATTGTTGTAGTGCAAATAACCCTACTGCATCACCCACTTGTGTTTGTTCATCTCTGTGATTAACCGGACTCAAATCTAAAGCTACTTTTGCCTGATGAAAGAGTTTCTATGTTTGCAGGTTTTTTTCAAATGGGATAAATTTTTTACACCTACCCAGTGAAGAGCTTGTCATTTGAGAGCAACTGTTGAGTGATCCAAAAATTCTTCCTTAAATCCTTTTTTTGGTATAAAAACATACATTGAAACTTTGCCTTCTGTAATGAAAGGTCATAATCTACATCTCAGCAAAGCTGCTAAAATAATTGCTGAAAATTTCTCAGTATGAATAAAGTTTATGAGAACAGCTTTTCAAACAAAGGCAACGATTTTTTTGTTTCCATTCAAATGTGTGCTTCTGCATTCAGTATTTGTGTATTTGGTTTCTTCTGCCAGGCCTGAATTTACCACTTTCCTTTTAAGCCTACCAGAAAAAGAAACAGCTAACACTGTAATATGCAGAGCAATAGGATACAATGTGTTCCTAGCTCATGTGAAAGACTCTCAGTCAGTGGCAATTGTTTCAGGCCCAAAGGGCAGAGTTTATCTGTGAACAGTCAAAGAGTGAGGAAGCTTGTCAGTGTCAAAATTATTTGCTTAAGGAACTAAAGAGAGCTACTTTTTTTTTTTTTTTTTTTACTAAGGGACGTGCAAGTAAACTGGTAGTCAGGACATTGCCAGATTCCCCTGGCAGCAGACAATATGACCTGTGCCAAGTATGGCCTGAATTTTTGGATACATGTCAAATGGCACCATTTTTGTGAAAGCTGAAGTTAAATCACAGCAGAATCCAAAACATGAATTACAATTGCAGCTCCTGCACTCTCCCCTATTTCCTCTCCTGTAGGTTGGCACAGCAAGGTACATGGCCCCTGAGGTTCTGGAGTCCAGGATGAACCTAGAGAATGTGGAGTCCTTCAAACAAACAGATGTGTACTCCATGGCTTTGGTCCTCTGGGAAATGACATCTCGCTGTAATGGTGTTGGAGGTAAGTGTAATCTGTTTTCTTCTCTCTGTAAGTCTGTTTAGAAACACGTGCTCTCATGGTTGTCTGAGGAGGAGGTGATTCTTTTTCCTCACGCTATTTTTTCCAGTGTCTCTAGATGCTGTAAATTAACAGGCCTCTGGTAGTATGAGGTGTATGTGCACATGACCAGGCCTGAAGGGCAAGCACCTGAGTGCACGTGAAAATTGTTCCTTAATTGGTGTAAGGATCGGTTAAGCAGAGCACTTCTAAATATTAATGTCTGTTTTTTCCTATAACATCTTGAGTAGCCATGGGTTGACTCAGTCTGTTTGGCCTTGCCTGATTTGAAACATCAAGACCAAGAAGTAATAACTGACTCCCTTTAACTTTCATGGAATGTTAATTCTGAAGCAGTACTGGTTTTTGCTAGAAATCAGAAAAGTTTCTGTTGAGATATCTGCATTGCATATTGTCATATTCAAAGATTTTTCACCTTACTTCAAGGACTAAAATGAGACTAAGTTACATATGAAAATTCTTCAGTGTGCTAGAATTGTCTAACATTCTTTGTAACAAAAGCTTCTGCACAATCCAGGGCTCTCACAGACAGTCTAAGGAGTGAGGCTGTAAAAGATAACACTGATGTGGATATTATAGTAGATATTCAGCTATAATTTGATTTGTTTCCCTTCTTCCAAAACCACAGAGACTTCCTTTTCATTGCACTTGGCATGGTTCCATCTTGAAAGGCTGCCACAGAGACAGGACAGTCTTGCAGACTAGAGTACGAACATAGTGTACAGGAGGGAAACCAGTGTCCCATGGGAAGATGTGCATAGCAGCTCCTTGTTTCTCTACGAACATCCGTGGGATACCACAAGGGTGCCCATGGAGGTCTCTGAAGTCACTCTGGACAGTGGCTGTGTGGCTGGCTCACAGTGTCCATGTACAGGAGGGAGAAATGCCTCCACCTCAGTCTCCTCCTGTGTCTGACCAGCATTTGGTCTTGCTGGGTGGGCTGGATTGTGGGCAACAGATTTGCCCCAGTTTGCACCCCGCCGGGAAAGCTACAAAGCAAGTATGTGTGCAGAAAGCTAGAGCTAGCATAAAAGCATGAAGAGAAAAAAAAAAAAAAAAGAGAGAAAAAAAAAATAGTCTTTTCTAGTTAAACATTTCAGGGAAAAAACATTTGGTGCTTAAGGAGCTGAACCTCAGTCTGGGATATTCCAAGGCAAACCTATCCACGTTTAACTGTCATGATCATGCCTGTTTCTAAGTGCATTGGCACAACATCAGCCTTTCATTAGCACTTTGTAAATGTGGCTGAGGAGGTTTAAAACCAGAGGAAAAGGATATTCACCCTGTCTCTTGAGGTCCCTCTGTTTCTTGCATTTAGGCACTCACCTTATTAATATATATATGAACGGTTCACTGTGGAGTCTTTCATCTTTGCTGATGCCCAAGTCCCTTCCTGTTCATATTTGCTGAGTAGGGCAAAATGGAGATTGTGGCAAAAGCAAACCTTATTGCTGCTGTTCTCAGAAGGCAACTGCCTAAAAGAGGATATAAAGGGAGATTCATAAGGAAGGAAAATCACCAACATGTTTAGCTGGAAGAGACTAACCCATTGTAACCTTGAGAAGAAGAGCTGAAGTCATCTCAGGAAAAGGAAAGATTTCTCTGGCCCAGCATGCACTTTGCTTTGAAGCTTAACCTCCACCCACATCTGATTTTCCCAATCAGTTTTGTCCCTTCATCATCCTCATCTCCAGAAACACATTTCTTGAATATTGTTTCCCTATTTCAGTCGCTTTTCCAGGGATTAAGTCCCCAGCAAAAACACAGGAGTAGTTGGGCTGATCTGTAGGGAGTGGAACTTGGACTTAGCATCTCCACCCAGAGCAGCTAAATGCAGCTCCCAGGTTGTAGCTCCCTTAACTTGTCACTGGTACTGAACTGCAGCAGTATTGCATGGTTTCTCTCATTTCCCTTAGATTTTCCCCTGGTTCATGCAGTCTGGCTATCTTTGCAACCAGCTGGTGAAATACCCTTACATTCATTACTATGAACCCTAACCCTATTACTGATTCATTACTACAGCTCCCCCTCTGGTTTCTCTCTCCATCTGTCACTTGTGAGACTCCCTCCTCCTCTCACAGCCTTCCTCAGGAGATGCCTCCACCTCACGCAAACCCCTTTTCTTCCTAAACTGAGATAAATTACCTCGAGTTTAAGCTGGAGTAGGCTGACCTGGCTGCAGCCAGTCTTTCCAAAGGAGCTTAAAAGATGTAGGCACCATCTTTGCAGGGCAAGCTTGACTCTGGTGCCACTCCTGGTCATTGGAGAAAGCCCATGGCAGTTTAGAGGGTAGAAGTGGCGGTCTAAGCTGAGGCAGCAGCATTAGCAGCTTTCCTCAGGGAGGGAAGCATGTGGGGGGTGCTAACTGCCATTCAGTCATGTAAAGGTACAATGACTTACTTCATTTACAAAGGTAGCTCTCAGGATTCATTTGCCAGCCTGCAGGTGTTTGGTGAGTGTGGGAGGCAGCGGAGGCAAGTCTTTTCACTACAGCAGCTTTGTCAAACATAGTCTCCCTGCTATGCCAGGCCTTTTCAGTCAGCAGACGTTTAAACAAAAATACCCAGCAGCATAATCCGTACTGTGAAGCTGCTGTAGTAAATAAGCAGGTGGGGATTGGCTTTTGAGAAAGGCCATCATGTTCATTGTTACTTTGTTGTGCTAAATATGGAGAAGCAGAAATGGGGCACGAGGGAAAGGGAGACAGAGGCAAAGATCGAGTTTGACTGATTTTTCACTGGAGCATAATTTAAGAGGCATATTTAGAAACTCAGCAATACTACTTTGGGGAGAACTTCAACTGTTCCACGCTGCTGTTAGCTTGGTATTTCATTCAGCACAACAGCTGTGCACCAGATGCTGCACGTTGCAAGAAATATAATTTTCATCTAAACCACTTGCTTTCAGAGCAACACAGCTTTGGTGACTGAGGCAAGTATAATTTCTCTGACAGCCTCCTAGAAAGAAAAGAAAACCATCTGTTTTGTATCGAAGCTGCTACGGATGGGGGACTGTTGGGGATGGCAGGGAAGGGGAGGAAAGGGAACTTCTGGGTGCATGGAGTTGCTAAAGTGGGAGAAGAGAAATTCCTCAGAAAATGGCGACATTTTTCATGCAGTATTGTACTCCCTGGTATGGTATCTGGTTTCAGTATAGCAGCAGAGCTTTGTTTGAAATGGCAGCCTTGCTTTACCAGAGCTGTGTTTAATGTGAATAAAATCACTAATCTTATGCTTGCTTGGAAAGAGTTTGTGGCAGCAGGGAGCATTTTGGTAGCCTGTACAGTGGGGCTGTGCATGTGCTTTGGGCCCTGAGGTGGCTGCAGCTGAGGCCTGTTTTTAAGCCTCTCCGTCTGTGGAGCAGAGCCCAGTTAGGGCATATCTGCACTGCTCTGACTTGTGGTGGCCTGTAGTCCTGAGCTGGTACATTCACACAGTGCAGCATCCCTGCGACAGTAACTCAGGTACTCAAAATTTTCTACGTGTCACCACAATGCTACATACAAGGCAGCAAGCTCTGTCTTTCAACAAGCCCAGCCAGCAGTATAAACAATCTCTGCATGTTGGGTGCTGGTTTGCTCATGTGCTCTGCATTCCTCTACTTTCCCACCTCAGGATCCAGCATGCAGTGACTAAGCAGCCTGTAACCATATGCTGATGGCAGAGCTCATGCACTCCCACACCTTTGGAAGGGTGACTGATCATCAAATGTGAAGTCACTTAAAACATGTCTGTGCAAGGGAAACTGCATGTTGAGCTCACCCCTCCCAACACATCCTCACCTTTCCCAGTGAGCATTTGCATTCTGAAGGAGCAGAGCAGGGAACCTAGGGTGAATGTGAAGCATTTGACAGTTCCTTAAACTTGGCAGTGAAATGGCTGTTGAGCCTCTGCGTAGTTCCTTTGTAAAATAGTTAAGTAGAGCCACCACCCTAGCATATACCTCTAGCATGAAGAAAGACATCATCTGCACACACATGCAGGTGGGTGGGTGTGCATGACCTGTCACAGTAGCTCCACCATCAATTGATTTATGCCCTTCTGTGGCTCCCCCTGTGTAAACTCTAAAAGGGGGAGGCATTTAAAAAAGATCTAAAGTTCCTGAACACAAGCCCACTGCTGTGGACTGTGCTCCACAGTTGGTTTTTACTGGACTTCTGTCACCTCACTCCTGCTTTGATTCTACAAATGAGCCTTCATCTTCCAGCAGTTGTCATCCCACAGAAATCAGCAAGACAGATCACATGAAGGAATGTTTACAGGGTTTGCTGCTATGCTGTTCTGACCCAGAGGAAGAGAACCTCACTGCAAAGAGCTTGGAACAGTAAAACATCATGAGTGAGGCATATTTTTCTTGAGGAACCAAGGGCCAGTTTTTCCAAAGCATTCATCAGGAACAACAAATAGGTTTTCTGTAATGTCTCTGTTTAGGGCTGAAAATTCAATCCCAGCCTTTCTGAGAGTTATGGTCAGGCCAATGTCAAAAGCAACAGAGGTACAGTGATTATTAGTGCAAAGTAGCTCACAACCATAAAGATGAAATGCTGAAGGTTGAACTTGAAGGAACCCTATGATTACTGAATGCTGGAGATGCTGTAGTTTGTGGTACCAGAAGTATATATGGTACTTCAGCCAGTTGTCATTTAGGCCTCATTGGCCTAAAAACAATCAAAAGAAATATGTAAGGCATGAAAAATAGATGCAGCATCTGCGTACAGCTGTGCACAAGGAGATAGGCTCAAACATTTTAACCTTCCTCAAACTGATATCTGTTACATCTACTGTAGCACATCAATATGATACATTAATAACCTCAACTATTATTGCAAAACCTGCCTGGCACCTGAGATTCCACAGCATAAGGATGATTTACTGTGAGAGGATTCTGCTGGCTGGAAAGAGAAGGAAGAAAATGAATAGGAAGGAAATGTTGCATGCTTTTCAAACTGGGGGAAGGCACAACTGAATTACTATAAAGTTATTACAGTGAATTGGCATCTGACTTCAATTTCTCTTTCTTCACCATAAAAAACCCACCCAAAACCAACAAAAAAATCTGAACTTGAAAAACCTATTCAGTCTTTATATTTGAAAGAGGAATACTCTTAGCATACGAAGAATCTCTCAAACAAGGAAAATGTGTTACAAGCCTATCAATTCCCTGGGAAGGTTTTCCTTCCCCCACTTGGACCGTCTTGTGTATCTGAATGGCATCAGATGAAGCTCAGTGAGAGGGAACAGATCAGCACTGCAGCACCAGCTTCCCTCTGTTGAATAGACTTCTCTGACTCCTCATACCACAAGAAGATATCAGAGCCTTGGCTGGTGTCCATGAGTGCTACCATAATCAAACCATGACTGATGGAGATGGTGTAGGAAATGGCCATCTAGGTCACACTATTTAAATTTTCCCAGGAAACTTCAATATTTTGGTTTGCTTTTAAAGTAGAGATATCTGCTTTGTAATCATTGTGCATCCGCTGCACATGAATCCAGATCTGACCAACGAGATGGCAGCTTCCCAATTAACCTCTAGGGCTAGAGTCTTGTAAATTTACTTTGGCTGAGTAATCTCTTAACACAGATTAATGCAGGTGAAAGTGGTATGACTTCTTGCAGAGGAAATAAAGCAAAGCAGACTTTGCCCTTAAGTCTTGAAGAATGTGATTTACATGTGGGAAGATAGGAGTTGTGTTTCAAGACTATAGACATTCTCCAGAGCATTTTGTGACCAGGGGCCAGCACCAGATAGTTCAGGAGAAGCAAACAGAGCTCTGCAGGAGGCATCTGTGAAGTGATCTGCTGCATTGAACACACAGTTGTTTGCAGCTGGATCTCTAAATACTGAACTTCAAAGTACAAGGGTCAATATCCATTAAAAAATGTTTGGTATCATATCTTGGCTATTCTTTTTAAGCATTAGAAATTCACTCTCTTTTTCTGTAGCCTATAGTCTTCATCTCATGGCCATCATGTGGAAATGAAATTTATGGCCTTACTCCAAGGCTTTGGAGAAAACTCCACCTTTTAACTCTGTTCATTACTACCTTTTTTTTATCACGAGATGTGTCAATTGGAAGGATCTGACCTGTTTTATCTTTATCATTAGTAACTTTCAGTATTTTACCATATGATTTCTTACCTTTCTCTCCATGGAAACAAAGCCAATCTTGAGATGTTCTTTCCATTTTTTCTAGTCCTTTAGTAATTGTTCTCACCCTTCTTGGAGCTTCTTTTTACCCCTTGAGCAGCACTGGACCCTGCATTTGAACTTTGGTTGTAACATTACACAGCAGTGCTGTCTGCCATCTCATTCATCTCTCTTCACACATCTCCTGGGCACCCACATGCATTCTTCAGACTGCCTTGTAGATTACACTTCAGATTTCTTGCCCTCAATTAATTCCTAGAAAGAAATAAGAGGCAGCAGAACAGGCCAACTTCATAAATCTTCATCTAATACTCGCAAGTCATTAGTGAATGAAGTCTCCATCTGTTCTCAAAGAAACCACAGCATTTTCTACACTGTGTCAGCATCTACTATAGTATTTCCGCTCTCAGAGATTTCTTGAGTTTTCTCCAAAGGTCCCATATGTCTGCCTCTTCCTTTCTCTCTCCAAAGAAAAGTAAAGAAAATATGCAACATGCGAACAAAAGCTATAATGGCAGCAACCCATTCAGGAAGCTGTGCCCCCTGTATCATGGGCCAAAGCTGGCCCATTTTGGGAAAGAGGCCTAAAATAAAAGCAGACTACTACTTTCTACAAGGGAACATGCCTCAATAATAAACAAGGGTGATGTAGCAGCTTCAAGCACTGCTTCTTGCTGCATCTTTGTCCTTTTCAAGCAACTGTTTCCTGCTAGCAATCTGGCACATTAATATCAACCATGACCTAGACAGATTTCAGTTTATATTTCACCTGATAAGCATGTGTGGACTCTGTGGGACCTAAGGGAGACCAGGTAACCATTTCTTGCAAGCCTGGCTCAGGCAAAACTCATCTTGGAGCTCCTGTGTGTTCTGCTTCAGCACGGATTAAAAGGCTCACAAACCATTATAGGTTACTGTGCTGCTTTGACTGTTGCTAATATGATTATGTACTAAAGTGTTTAAATGAAAATTGTTTAGTTGGCTAGGAAAGAAAAAGGGAGTGAGAAAGGGAGTGTGTGGGAGAAATGCATTTGAAACATTTTTTTTAAATGCCAGCTGGCTTTGCTTTGTTTGGAGCTGGTCAAGCAGAACAGTGGCACTGAGCAGCTAATCAGTAGCTCCTACTCCTCCAGAGAACAGCCAGCTCCCTTCACACTTGGCACCAGCACAGCACAGCTGAATACCCTTGTGTTTGCTTATTCCCTTGGCAGAAGTGAAGGAGTACGAGCCCCCGTTTGGCTCTAAAGTGAGAGAACACCCCTGCGTGGAAAGCATGAAGGACAACGTCCTAAGAGACAGAGGGCGACCTGAGATCCCCAGCTCCTGGCTTAACCATCAGGTAAGAGCACCACATGTGAGCAACTGGGAGCTGCAAGGTACATTTAGCTGTGCCTGAGCCTCAACTCAGTGTCCTGCCCTACAAGCTGGACCTCTCTTTTGTACAGATTAGAGCTCTGTCACACAGTGGCACCTGTGCTGCCATGGTTCAGACACCAGAGTGCTCTGCACCATACCTAGCCCAAAGCCCTGGAATTTCTGTTGCACACCAGTGTAATCTAAAAGTGGTCAAAACAAAAAGATTGGAAACCTGAGAACCAACAATCATCCAGACAGCCACAGAATAATTAAGGCCTTGAAGCGCACCATGTGCAGGCTCTGAAAGGTCAAATAGAACAACTTCACACATGGGCCCCTTCAGCAGAGAAAACAAATCTCAGTACTTTATCATGGAGAGCAGCCATGGTTGTATCCCAGCTGTTGACAGGTTTAAGAAAATAGGAAATAAGTCTTCAGCAAGCCAGTCTGGTTTTATTCAGGTTGCACATTAGCAGTCCATTTCCATTGCATGTTGTGAAGCACTCTGTCAGCTTTACCCATTCACAGACACCATGGCTGCACTAAGTGGTTGTTGCACCCCAGTTTCTCAGTAGATGAAACTGAATGAAAACAGACCAAATAAATGCATTTCTTCACCTTTGCTCTGAGCAGTTTTATCAGAAGAGATAAAATGAGAATCATTTCAGGAGAAAAGAGGCTTGGTTGTTCCATTTGTCAATTAGATATGTTGAGTGGTCTTTACAGACAAAAGGAAAGCGTTGTGAACATTTATAAAAGCTCAGGAGACCAAGATCAGCCAGTAATTTCCATTAGGAACAATGTAACACTCCCTACTTTGTTTCATTTGAGATGCTAAAATCACAATCTAACACCTACTTAGGAAAGGCCAAGTGAGTGGCCAAAATCAGTCTTTTTTCTAAGGAAGGACAACACATCTGTCACGTGATGACTGAGTGCAGCCCCTTCGTGGGGCTATGGGCTTACTCCTTATGTAGTCATCTGTGATGAGTAGGGTTACTGAGGAGGAGTGTTTTAAGTTGGGAGGAGAGCAGTACTTTGAGGGACACCTGATGTTATGAGTACTAAAAAGGTCTTGACATTTCTAGGACCTATGGATACAATCATCTTCTAAATGGAAGTTGAGCTGGGAAGGAGAAAGTATACTGATTCTTATCTTTATAGAAAAGAAGTGGTTGCACAAATTTTATAAAAATTGTGGATGAGTTGGTAAAACGGATCATGAGTTGACTGCAGTTGCTTGTTTCCTCTGAAGCCGAGATGAAGTCCAAACTGGTAATGCACCTGTGGTACTTTAGAAGAGCACAATTAGCAAAGAAGAGAAACCTGAGCCATTTGGGAGATAAAAATTAAATGGTAGAAAGGCTTAAAATAAGGAACAGTATGAGAACATTTCTGGGGATATGTAAAAGACATGGTCTTGTGTGAAAAAAGTTAGAGAACTGGTTAAGGAAACAGTGAAACAACAGGAAGATCTGTGGTCAGCAAGCTTGAAGATAATCACAATTTTCTCAAGAGCAAAAGGAAATCTAATTTAGTACCAATCTACTGCAGGATATGAAAGAAAGACACTCTTTGTGCTAATGCAAAGGCAGACATGGTCAGCAAGTATTTTTGTTCTGCATTTGTGAAGAGTCAGATGATGTACATAGAACAGAAGGTGATGGAAACCCCTATAAAGCAGAAGTCATTGGCACTTCAAGCAGCCCCGGGGCAGTGCTAGGTGGCCCAGAGACTTGTCTGTGCTCAGGGCAGGGCTACTTCTGTGGACACTGTGGCTTGACACTGTATTACATGGTGGAAGAAACAGGCAGTACCACCTTGGAGAGAAGTGTCCAGAAGCTCATTTCATTCACAGCCAAGGATAACGGCAAGCATACCTGTGCCAGCATGCCCAGGACACCTGGACAGGGAAGCACTGAAGCAGCTGGCAGCAAGCCGGAGTGTGTGGAGTGCTGTAAGACACTGTGTATTTTGTCACCTTTAAATTTCCATAGCAACTAATATGATCACAGATTTGGACCTAGGTGTCCTGCATTTGACTTCAGAGATTTCTGCCCTATGTAAAACCCAGACCTCAGTTGGCCCTTAGTACTGGGAAGACTATGGTCCTGTGCTTCTGTGTTACCAGGACAGGCACAGCTGGCTCCATCAGGGTTCAGTCTACAGCAGGAAATGGATGCCTGATAACACACTCACAGGACATGTAATGAAGGTGGATTTAATTCCCTTCATCTCAATCCCTTCAGCATTTCACATTGTGCTGGCTAAAATGCAGTGACACATCAGCTTCCACAGGGCTGTGACAGTTTGCAGCAGCTGAGGGTCTGCTTTGAAGTCCATAGAAGTTGCTCTCACTGTAATGGCTCTTCCATATTCATTTCCTTCCTCTGCAGTCGTGTTTTTGTAATGAACTCATTATTCATCGTGATAAAGTTCTGGAATGGATTTACATATTACAGTTTTTTTTCCCCCTTAATGAGATTTGTTGCACTATTGATTTCAAGTTAATGTTTAATATTTAATTTAATTTACTGCTTGTAATTTCAGTGCCAGCAGAAAACTAATGTTATTTGTATATAGACAATAACGTTCTGCTATTAACATTGACATCAGTCAACATCAGCAATTAGGTAAATTATGCAATTAATGCAGTGTTATGAAATGTTATTTTTTTTAAATAAGAAGTTTCAGATAAATCCTATTTAATGGGCTTTTAGTGTCATAAAGCAAAGCACACAATTTCCTGACAAATACTACATGTTTATAAAATGCAACTGTTTTTTGCTCCTGTAAACATGTGCATCAGCATTGAAATGAAGGTTAAATAGTTACATCTGTGAGTGGCATGTGTTTAAGTGTTTGTGGGACTGTGGCCCATATTTGCACATAGATTTAGTTAGTCTGCAAGGAATTCATTATGGGCTGATGTAGGGCCTGCTATTGCTGCCAATCAGGATTTTGTGCAAAAAACCCAAACGGAGTTCAGGCACATAAAGGCATGAGTTGAACGGGAAGTCATGTTATCCAAGAATTCTGATCATATTTATTTAAAAAACCCCCACAAACTACTTGATTCTTTAGCACTAATCCAAAGCATCATTTGCTCTTGTTATAAAAGTATCAGAACGTATGCCCAGAAATGACAGGCCCCTCCAGACAAATGTGAACAACCCCTGAACTTCAGAGGGCCCTAAAGCAACTCTCACACATGGGCTTTGGTGGTGCCTGGCCCCATCATGTCTCCTGTCTCTGTGCTTTCTGCAGGGCATCCAGATGGTGTGTGAAACTCTCATCGAGTGCTGGGACCACGACCCCGAGGCCCGGCTCACGGCGCAGTGCGTCGCGGAGCGCTTCAGCGAGTTCAAGCACCACGACAAGCTCTCGGGAAGGAGCTGTTCGGAGGAGAAGATCCCTGAAGATGGCTCTGTCACCACTGCCAAGTAGCATGCACCCGAGAGCTCCAAAGCGGAGGGAAGTTGCTCCTAGATGTGTTCACCTTGGCAAAGGAAGAAGTCTCGATCGGTGCCTTGACTTGCTTCCTGGAGGACTGAGGCTGTCACTACTCCTGTTAGACTCTGGCTCCAGACAGGGAGAAGTATTAATGAGAATTAAAAGCTGGGGAGTAGGTATCATATCCTAGCATTGGCTGCCAGCATCATGCCATAGGAGGAGCTATGTATGTTAGCACTTCCTCAGGAAACGAGATTTGGAAATAGCCAATAACATTATGCACTTTATTAATGCCTGTATATAACTATGAAATTGCTATTTTTATATATATATATATACACATATATAAAAATAAAATGTGTGTGTATGTATATGTGTATATATATATGTATCTCTATAAACAGCCATGCTCTGAAAAAAAGAGTTTTTAAAAAAAGTGCTTCCAGGAATTTACCAGTGTGTTAGAGATCCCTCCCTCTTCGGGAAGGAGCCTGAGGAGACTGGCATAGCATGACACCAGCAATTGTGCACTAAACACTCTGCCAAAAAGGAATAATACGGGCCAAGAAGATGGCTTTCAAAGCACATGCTGTGACCTCCTGGCTGGGACCCTGCCATTCACAGTTGCAGGAGCAGCATCACAGCAGACCAGCCAATTTGGCTTTGCAGTTGTTCCTCCGCATTCCTGTCTGCAGCACATTTTGGAAGGTTCAGGGATGCCTTTGCCCTCTCACCTTAACCCCAGTGTCTTCATAGCATCCCAAAATGGGAATGTGAAGAGGTTTGGTCCCTCCCACACGTTTCCATACAGAGGTCGTTAATGTTGTATGTTTATTGCTTTGATTTCATGCTGCTTGCAAGCAGGTTGCAAGACATCAGCAGCTTGTTTTCCCCTCCTCCCACCCCCACCACCAAACCATATACAAGACAAGGCCAGCAATAATCCAAGCAGATGTTTTGTATTTGCTGTGCATTCTGAGTGCAGGCAGTACTTTTTTTTTTTTTTCCCTCCCTTTTACCTTGATTTTGTTATTATAAATGAAACAAATTTTTTCTGTACAGCATGTCTAACTGCTTGACACACCACCGTATGACTCTGTTCCTGGCTCAAACCAGGACACATGCTTTCTAGAGAAAAGTAAGAGACAATGGCCAGTGCCTTTATTTTTGCAAAAGGACCTTGGAGGTAAGGAAAAGCTCCATTCTCCGAAATGTTTAAGACAGTTAACATCACATTAGGTCTATATAAATGACAACAGTGTGCTTAATAAGTGCTAACAACTTTGTCTTCAGGAGTTTTGCAGTGATTTTCCCCACCCCCCCTTTTTTCTTCCCTATGGCACGTGACCAGGCCTTGGAAATCAGATATTCAGCCATCACAAACCAGCCCACTACAGATGTATCTGGTGCCATTTATTAAACCCCTTTGACAGATAAACGTCGATCCTTATCTAGCAGGCCTTGCCATGGAAGTCAAGAGGAATCAAGATTATTCAAATAGGAGTCACAATTTATGATGACAAGGATTTTGTCTGAAATGGGTTTGGATCTGTTTCCTCCCCTTCCCCCATTTTAACCAAACCACTCATAAATATTTAAACAGGCCAAGACAAAGCCTCAACAGCAGCAGTGGAGGCCACAATGTGAGATTTCCAAGGGGGAAGGGATGATTTATATTTTGTGAGGATGCAAGGGGCGGGCAGAGGCGGGGGCCCGGGGGGGGGGTGTGAGGAGGGGAGCAGGGAGGGACTGTGGCACCCTCTTCCTCTTCCTCCACCCACGCGGTGAGTCAAGGAATGGCGACCGGTAGTTCCTGACAATACTGACAGTTTTATATTTGGGGGTGTTGTTTTGGTTTTGGTTGGGTTTTTTTTACTACTACACATAAAGGAAAGAAATTGGTTCTTTTAAGGAATATTTCACCTGTACATCATGTATGAAATAGGAAGGTGAACAATATATACTCTAGTATATCAAGTGTTTCAAGCACTTAACTTGCTTTGTAAACAGTTTCGGGGTGTTTTTGTCTGTGTTGTTTTTATAAATCAAATGTTTATCGGAGCAAATAAAATAACACCAACTCACGTTTGTCTTTCATCTTTGGAAAATCCAGAATAGGGAGAGAGCTCTTCCTACAGTGAACCTTACAAAAAAAATAATGCTCAGCAAGTCCTTTGCTGCTTTGTCCTGCTTTTCTGATGATTCCTGCCCCTGGTCTCCATGCTGCCCTTCAGCAGAACAGCACTCCAAACATGCTGTCCCATTATCCCTTACAGTGTAAAACCTCTGGTAGTCTCAGGGTAGAGGAGGAAGAAGAGGTTTCATGGCTGATGCTGTCCTACTTTTAGATTGCTCAGTTCTCAGTGCAGCTTTGTTTTGGTGTTGGTATTAAAGTGAGCCAGAAGACAGCCCACTTAATCTGTGTCACCAAAAATTGTATGATTAATGTGCTTGTGCCTTACAGCTACTACTCTCCACTCAGAGCTTTCACCTTTATAAACCATTACCTGTTCCATGGACAACATGCAGAACACAAGCACCACATAAACAAAGAGCAGGCTACCTCCTTCCCTTCAAAATAATTGCCTGAAAAGTGACTTAGGTTGAGGTTAAGCCTTTACACAGGATGCAGCCCACTAGTGCCTGATTCAGACATCTGAGACTCTCCAGTTATCAACATTTTTCCCAGGACGTGTATTAGTGCAGAAATGTCCACCAGAATCATGCTTGGCTGTGCTGAATAGCTCCTTTTGAACCTTCAAGTCAGGATTTCCCAAACAAGTACCCAAGTGTAAATGAGGCTGGCAGGGATCTCTGGTCCAGGAGCTGTGCTTGCTTGTCATCTGGTTCAAAACAGGCAGCTTAGCTCAGCTTGCTCAAGACCTCCTTGATTTTTTGAATATGTTCAGTGCTAATCATTTCACAGCCTCTCAGGGCACCTAGTGCTCCAAACAGAGCAACACACATAGCCAATGTCAGGTGTCATGCAAAGCACAGCAGCCACACCTAGACATCTAGCAACATGGGGGCTTTGTGATGAAGGCCTGGGATATGTGCACCCTTAGGCAGGGAGCTGCAGACGACCAGCTCTTCCTCCAAGCTAGCTACCCTCTGCCTTGTGCTACTAGACTAAAAATCAAACTGCAGAGTGAGGATGCTCTGCAGCCAGCTGAAAGCAGCTGCCCGGGGACAACATGGAGGGGCCTACAGGGACTCAGGCTGCAGGGCTGCTGCCAGGGGTTCAGTCAGGACAGGATCCACACCAGCTGCCAGCACCAGCCTTGCTGCAGTTGTTCCAACATTGAGGGACAGTGGGATGCTCCACAGCCCCAGCAAACATTAACGGTGCAGTGTTTCCTTCTCTCACATTCCTTCAGTGAAAGCCATGTACAAAAATACCTCTCATCTCCCCTGTGGGCAGGCAAAGCCTCACTGCCCACACCTCGGTGGTTTCTGGCAGTGCTTGGACCAGCCCTAGGCAAGCCTAGTGTCACTGTGGTCACGCTCAGCAGCTACTGGGCACTGGTGCCAGTCGGCACCCCTCACCAGGCCCCAGCAATGGGCACCTCTTGGCAAAGATCTTCAAGCCCTGACAGTGGCTCAAAGGCCAAGTCCTTTTGGCATAACAAGGCAAACGAGTGTCGTAAAAATAAAGTGTATTAAGAAATGTAAATGTAGCAGGCCTCTTTCCGAGATCTTTAAGTTTTGAAATGAAGTACAAAATATCCTTGAAGTAAAGTACATTATATCCTTCTTACATTTTTTTCAATTAAGAATTTTTTTCCCTTAATCTTAAATAAGGTATTCAACATCCTTCTGTAAGTAGCTCTTAATTAGCATGTCAATCAGCATTTTATCATTAGGGTACACAGCAAGGAGGCTCCAGCTGTGCGATGCAGGAGCCTGCCCTGCATTGGGTTTACTACTGAACCATGCAATGGGCTAAACTGGATGGCAAAGTTTCCTGGTGCAGCCTGCCTCCATGTTACCAGTTCATACAACTCCCAGCACAATGGGACTTTGACCCGCTTCTAGAATATTCTCAACTGCTACTTTTATAGTCATGAACAATAAAAGAAGTAAAAAATCCTGACCCAGCTCCTGAGGGAGGAAAAAAAAAAAAAAAAAAAAAAAAAAAAAAAAGAAACAGGCAGACATTAAGATATCCTTATTCTAAATGCTCCTGGAAACAAACTGGGCCACATGTCAAGCACCTGCAATATCATCCTCAAGCCAGCTGTGCTGGGACCCAAGGGCTTCCTTTGCTTCCAGAGGAACATTGATTAATTTATTTCCTGATTCTTAGCTCTGTCTCTCTCTCGCTTGCTTCTCTCTCTTTTTTTTCTTTTTTCTTTTTTTCTTTTTTTTTTGGCATTGTGTTTTTAATAAAATGCTGCCTGTGGCAATTTTTCCCTCCAGCCACAAAAAAGATGGAGCAAATTCTGTTCCAGACTGCCTGGTTGCTGTTTCTGAATGTAGCTTGGCTGTGTTCATGCTGCTTATTACTTGGCAAACACTCATGCAAGTGGGTGCACACCATGTGCATGTTCAGAAGGCTCTTGCTGGAGGGTGTGCCAAAAATTCCTGCTTCATCCTGGGTCGGTATAAGTAAAGCACTACACTGCAGGATTTTGATGGAGATTTTTCAGGCACCTGTGTCCTACTGGGTTATATTTCTCAACATGACCCACAAGACCCAGTTGGCCTGAGCCCACAGTGTCCCAGCCCAGATGTCGATACTGCATTTCCTCACAGGGCCTAGACTATTGACACCTTTCACCTATTTTTGACCTCTAGCAGCTGAAAAGCCTTGCTCGTGGGCAGAAAGCTGAAGACAAAGTCAGTGGTTTGTTGGAATACAGGCAAGTTGTGAGACTTCTGGGAGGACTGAGCTCAGGAAATAGATTTAAAACTCTTGACTAATGTATGCTTTGAGCAGTATCTAATCCCTTCATTAAGAAGCAAAGGCAAAAAGCAGCTCATACATTATCTGCTGTGAACTATTTGATTAGTTATAATGGTGATAAACCAATCTCTTCAGACAATTGCATTCATGTATCTAAATTATTAAACAATAAAATGGCCACCTGACCAACTCAGCTTGATTAACTCTCATTGCTGAAAGGTCTTTTTCACAAATATGCTGCTGTGTGACAGCAGGTAGAGCAAAGATCCCCAGCAGCTCTTCCCAGGTGAGCCATCCCATCTGTTTCAAAAGAGGGACTACTCACAGTGGAACACACTCTCCCTCTTCCTCTGCTGCTACAAGGCACTCCTGTAGAAGGAACAAAAAGCAATTCAGCCCACTTTCTTTTCTTACCCATCTGTGGCTTCAAGCCCAGG